GTTGTCTACCACACTAAGAATATTTCCATCTGATATCATATAAATATTTTAAAATATTGTAAAACTTTATTAAAATAAATTATTAAAGCTAAAATTAACAAAAATTATTTTCATAAAAAATTGGATTTTTTTAAAACGTTTCCCAGTCCTGGTTTTTTATTGAATTAAATTGTTCCTTTCTCCAGTTTAGATCTTGAACCACACTTCACAGTATCAAGTTAACACCAGCCGCCGAGACATGTCTACCAGTTTAAAAAATCATCTAATGGACATTAAACGAAAATTAGTAAATAAATTCAGAGATTTTAAAATTTTGAGTATATCTAATTACAAATTACAAATATTCATAATAAAATAAAGAAAATTGTCATAATATTAATACTTTAAAAATTTTCATAAAAAATATTTAGTGTTTAAAATGAAAAAGGACAATAAATAAGTTTTTGTAACAATTTTTCATCGCAACATCCTATACAATTGGGCCAAACAGGATGTTTTATAGATAAATAGAACAATATAGAGTCATGACATTTTATAGACATGACACTACATGGAAATATACTTTGCTTGTCTGTTAGTTTGCTCGGCCTCAAATTTTGTTTGGGACATCGCATGAGACAAAGACCCCATCGAAGGTTATAGATATTCAAAATTTTAACAAACCTGCCTCTAATCAATTTCAATTTTTGCAAAATTTTCTAAATCTACGAAAAAAAAACTTCAAAAATTTGTTTCCTATTTAAAAGGCTTAGTTTCATGGACAAGGCATTATAGACAGGATTTTTCGAAAATATGACGAGGACATATTTTTGACGGATACTTCAGTCCATAGGAAGGAAAATGGTTCCTAAATAAAAGAATTTTTAAAAACTTACTTTTTGATATTTTTTTCTATGTCTACACTATTATTTTTACAATTTAAGAAAACAAATTTTTATATGTCAATTAATCTATGAAATTTACTATCTAAATATGTCCTATATCTATGAAATGTTTTTATCTTACAAATATTTTCTCACTGAAATGTTCACACGTCTTGTATTTTTTTTCGTATACTGTAAAATTATAGACAAAATGTATTCAAGAAAAGATAATTTTTCTGGGCTAATTAAAATATAATATATTAAATAAAATTAGATAATCAAATTATTTCCTTAATGAAGATTAATTTATGTATTGTATACAGAGTAGAACAGGGATTTATCTTACTTTTTCCTTTTCACGTCAAACTAAAGTAAATTGCACATAAGATTAAAATCTTTTATGTTTTCAATCATAACTCCTCTTAAGGAAGGGCCATAATTCCTCTTATTTAAGGACTACAACTCCTCTTATGAAAGGGTCATAATTCCTCTTGTTTAATGACTATAACTCCTCTTATGGAAGAGCCATAATTCCTCTTGTTTAAGGACTATAACTCCTCTTATGGAAGGGCCATAATTCCTCTTATTTAAGGACTACAACTCCTCTTATGAAAGGGCCATAATTCCTCTTGTTTAAGGACTATAACTCCTCTTATTGAAGAGCCATAATTCCTCTTGTTTAAGGACTATAACTCCTCTTATGGAAGATCCATAATTCCTCTTATTTAAGAACTATAACTCCTCTTATGAAAGACTCTAACTCCTCTCATAAAAAGGGCCATAATTCCTCTTTTTAAAGGACTATGGAAAAGAACAAAAATTTTACATATTATGACCGGGTAAATTTGCTCTCTTATAATTATTACATAAAATCAAAACCTGAGGAGCAATAAGTTTACAAGGTTGTTCCAGAAATGTCGCAAACATTTGACCTTTTGTCGTATTTATGCAGTATTTTACAGTTTTAGAAGTTTTTCACAGTAGTGTTGCTTTTCAACCTTATTTACAATTTATTTCGAATAAATTTAGTTTCTACTTGATCTAAAGTTCAAGCCTAATTCAAACAATTTCTACTAATCTTGGTTTACATTTTACAAATCTTAACCCTACTCCTGCTGGGAGGGGGGGGGTCAATTTGACCCCCCCTCTAGTTTTGATTACACAACTCAAAAAGAATTGGTCTGAGGCTGTAGAAATTTTCTGACTTTTCCTAGATACCCAAAGCCAAAGTTTAGGCCTAAAACCGGGCTTTAATACTAACTGCCTGAGTCCTAAGGCACACTGCCTGAATGACTGCTTTTTCCTGTAACAAACTTAATCTTTGTTTTGAACCACTTCCACTTGTTAGATTTTGATAAAATTTAGCTTTTTGGAAAGCCTTTTACATAAGAAAAAGAATTGCACAAGTTTTGCGAAAGAAAATTGCAAATTTTTTTAAAACAACCTGTCAAAGGAAATTTGCACATTTTTAGTTTTTCTTGATTAAAAATCAGGAAATGGCATGGTCAAGGGCTTTTCAAAAATTTATACTTTTTCTTTTTTTGGACAAATTTCTTTCTGCAAACATTTTTACTATATAACTGGATTTTGCGATAAAAAATCCAATTTTGCAAATTTGCAAATTTTTTTGCAGATTCTAAAATTAGAGCACAAGAGCTTTCCAATGATGTATCATTTGTCATATTTGGACATCAAACATGGGATTTATAGGGGGGGGGGTCATATTGACCCCCCAGCATATCCTGGTTTTTTAAGTACCCCAGCAGAGATAGGGTTAATTCATATAGGTTTCAATCTCATAGTTCACATTTTACTGATCTTAAACTCGCAATTTTATAATCTCATAGTTCACATTTTACTGATCTTAAACTCACATTTTTATAATCTCATAGTTCACATTTCACTGATCTTAAAACTCACATTTTTATAATCTCATAGTTCACATTTTCCTTATCTCATAGTTCACATTCTCCTTATCTCATAGTTCACATTTTCCTTATCTCATAGTTCACATTCTCCTTATCTCATAGTTCACATTTTCCTTATCTCATAGTTCACATTCTCCTTATCTCATAGTTCACATTCTCCTTATCTCAAGACTCACATTCTCCTTATCTCAAGACTCACATTTTACTAATCTCAAGATTTACATTTTACTAATTCCGAGCATATATTTTACTAATTTCAAGACTTATATTTTACTAATTCCAAAGCATATATTTTACTTATCTCAAGACTCTAATTTAACTAATCTCGACAATGCATATTCTTTACTATCTCGAATCTTACATTTTAAAACTTATATTTTAATAATCTTGATACTCACATTTTTACTAATCTAGAGAATCACATTATACTAATTTAAATACTCACATTTTTCTGATCTCAAGACTCATATTTTACTAATCTCAGTCTTAACACTACTCACATTTTACAAATATATTTAAATTCACATTTTCCTAATATCAAGACTTATATTTTACTTATCTGTACTCTGTAGAATCACATTTTACTATTCTGCAAACTCAAATCATAATTTACTCACGGCGAACCGTTTGCTATAAGCTCAAAGTTTACATTTAGCACATTTTCGAATAAAAACTGCAAAAAATACTTAGATTCTAAATCTTAAGATAGAATATTTCTAAGAAAATCCCTAACATTGATCTTGTTGTACACATTATATCAATACGATGAAGACGACTTGTATATTAAAGTTTTGATTTTTAAAAAGTTTACAAGTAATCAAGGAGAATATTTTTTTAATTTACAGCTTCTCTTGACTTCTTTGTTTATGTGTATCTACTATCCATGCTGATAAAAAAAAAAATTGAAATCTAAAGTCGGCTTTACTGTATTGATATAATCGACTACCACTGTATAATGGGTATTTGGGGCAGAGTAGATTGAAAAATATTATTTATTGACAACAAAATCGATAATAAAACTGCAAAACTAAACATTTAATATTGTTAAATGTCAACAATATTTGTAGTTTTCAAAATATTATGGTTTCCAATATTATGGTTTCCAATATGCAAAATTAGAATCTCGTAATACATGATATATTTAAATTATCAGACCTATTGTGTACAAAATATCAAAATATTGCAATTATAAATGGAAGCCGTGTGTAAAACAAATTAATTGTTACAGAAATATGATGTAATGATAAAGCATTAAATCCTTGGTTAAAAATGTTTATTAACTGCATATTTACAAATACCATGCAAATTTTACCGATAATAATAAAAATATTAGAAATTTCCATATTGTTGAACAAATTGATAAACAATATTTAAAATTTGATATTTTTCATAGCACCGAAGATTCCCCTCAGTGGTATCATTTTTCATTTTTTAATGGTTAGGGTGCTAGGGAGGTGTTAAAAAAATGACATAAAGAAGGTCGAAATATTTTAAAAATAAAAATTAAAGTTTTAACAAAAAAAAATTTTTACACATTTTTATATCAATTTTTCAAGGAATATTCTTTGAAACAGATCGAAGTTTACTTTAATAAATTGTCTTGTTAAAATCAACTAAAGGGTTTCCACGAAATGGCAAAATCTTTTGCGCAAATGAAACTCAACGAGTTTTGCGCGCGCGGTTTTGCGCTTTTTTTGGGCAATTTGCGCAAACCCGGAAATATTTTTTGCAAAAGTTGCGCATTAAACAAAATTTTAGTTTTGCGCAATTTTTTTTACGCAAATTGCGCATAACCGCAAGTTTTAGGCAAAATGTAACTTTTTAGGCAAATATATGAATTCTGTCAAGTCTAATAATCTTAGTTTAAAATATCAGGTTCACACCACCAGGTTGTAAAGATATAGGAAACAGACTATTTTAGTGCATGGCAAAAACTCAATTACATTCAATTATTTTTGATTAAAAGTTTTTTGAGCTTTTTCTTTCCTGTAACCTCAATTTTATTTTCTTATTATGAACTACACTTCCTCCTAAATGTCCTCCACCTCCTCCTACATGTCCTTCACCTCCTCCTACATGTCCTCCACCTCCTCCTACATGTCCTCCACCTCCTCCTACATGTCCTCCACCTCCTCCTACATGTCCTCCACCTCCTCCTACATGTCCTTCACCTCCTCCTACATGTCCTCCACCTCCTCCTACATGACCTGATGGTCTAAAATGGATATATTTCAAGACTATGTAAAATGTTGAGCTCAGGATTTTCTCTTCTAGTTCTGATGGTTGTCAGGTATTTCTGAAGAATATAGATATGGCAAAAATAACCTTACTTTTTTTCGAAATTAATCAACAACTTTTTGTTTTTGAGATCAATGAGTTTTTTTCACATTCCACCCCCCCCCCTTTTCTCCCCCCTCTCCCAAATCTGAAAGAAGTTCTTTCCCCAAGGTTAAAAAATATATGATTCAATCAAATGTCGTCTTATATCATTCAAAAATAAAAATAAATATCTTCTGAAGCAGTGTATTTTATAATATAATAAAGAGGTTGTTGCCGAATTAGATTATACCTTAAAGGGACTGTAAGCGTAATTCCAAGTGACCCTCCATACAGAATCTGAATTACAGATGGCAATGCGAGTCTTAAAATCTTTGTCTGATCAAGTATAATATATTAGATATTAATGTTTATAATTTAAAAAAAAACAATGGCAAGTGACTTGTGCATTTCTACTACAGGAAAACACAAGGAATCATTAGAAACTAACACTTTTAAGCCCACAGAAACTACAATATTATTGATCATATAAGGTTTCAAGGGTACAGTTGTAAATCGAACGTTGTTATCTTTGCATGGAGGGTCACTTAAAACTACATGTACAGTCCCTTTAAATTATTTTTAATGCATCACTTTTTTGCAATACTTCTTGTATTTTAAAGCTTAAGTTTTAATTCGGAATAGGGTTAACAGTTTTCCAGGTTCTTCGTTTATTTTTCAGGACGGAATGTCGTCTTCCTGAAGCATTTACGGTAGCGGCTATCTTTGATCAGGTGAACGCTCAATATAATGTAATTAATCACATCTGTTCGTAAACTTTTGCTCCTAAATTATACAGGGTTTCTTAAAAAACAAGCCAATTCAGAGACGACCATAAAATTATTTTTTATCTTGGGTTTTCATATTTCTTATTTCCTTATAAAAGTTGACCTACATTCCCGTGGTTCTACCGAGTTTTCCAATCAACAATTTAGGCAAATCTTTAAAAAAGTTCCTGAGTTATGATCGGACATATCTACAATATATACATACAAGTTGAAATGTCTATTTGAAGCGACTGTCGTTTAAATTCAAGTAACTAAGTTTTTCAATCGCGTTATCAAGAAATCGTCATGTTTAGTTGGATTGGTATCTGAAAAAGAATATCTTTTCCAGGATACTAATTTAACGCTGGATTTTTTCAAGTATACTGATTTAACGCTAGAATTTTCAAGGATACTGATTTAAATCTGGAATTTTGAAGGATACTGATTTAATGTTGGATTCTCCAGGATAATTTTTGAACGCTGGATTTTCCAGTATACTGATTTAACGATGGATGTTTCCAGGATATTGATTTAACGCTGGGTGTTTTAAGGATAATGATTTAACACCGGATTTTCAAGGATACTGATTTAATGATGGATATTCCAGGATACTGATTTAACGCTGGATATTCCAGGATACTGATTTAATGTTGGATTGTCCAGGATACTGATTTAATGCTGGGTATTCCAAGATACTGATTTAATGATGGATTTTCCAGGATACTGATTTAATGATGGATATTCCAGGATACTGATTTGATGCTGGATTTTCCAGGACACTGATTTAATACTGGATTTTCTAGGATACTGATTTAATGTTGGATTTTCCAAGATACTTATTTAATGTTGGATTTTCAAGGATTCTGATTAAATGCTGGATTTTGCAGGAAACTCATTGGTCGTTGAATTTTCCAGTATACTGATTTAACGCTAGAATGTCTAGGAAACTGATTTAATGCTGCATTTTTCCAGGACACTGACTTAACGTTGGATCTAATGTTTGTTAATGCAATCAAGAAGGTTAACAGGTAAAATGTTTTCCAGAAAGGAACTAAAATCAAAATTATTGTAAGTACAGTGATCGGCGTTCTTATCAATACAATGAAGACGGCTTTTCTATTTAAGTTTGATTTCTAACAAGCTTTTTATCAAAATTACAAGTTTACAAGTAAAGAAAGAGAAGCAGTTAATTGACAAGTTATCTTTGTTTCCTTGTTTATGTACATATCCATGCTGTTTGAAAGCTAGGTAGAAATAACAAAAAATCATGTCGTCTTCATATATGCGACGACGACTGTACAAAAATTGAGAATAAAGAGCTAGAAAGATTGTAATTAGTGTAAAAACAATAATTTCAAACATTCTTGAGTGTAAAAGAGAAATACTGAGAAAAATTATCTTTTGACTGGATAATTTATTATTTATGTATTAATATTATATTTACTAGCCTTATAGTGCGCTTTGCGCCCATCTTCTAAATTAATTGTTAACATGTTCTCTTTGTGTACATCGTAAAACAAAACAAAAATAATTCGCGGATTTTCACAAAAAAATTCGTGGATTTTCAAAATTTTCAAAAATTTAATGAAGATCAAATTTTGATGGAGACAAATATTTGAAATTTTGATCATTCATAAACCTTCCCTGGGGTCAATTGATGTCCCACAAAAAATTTGGGCCCGATCGGTTCAGCCGTTTTGACGTTTATCGGATACAAACAAACAGACAGACAAGCCAAATTTATATATAGATTGTTTATTATTATATTTATTATTTATTATTATATTTATTATTTATTATTATATTTATTATTTATTATTATATTTATTATTTATTATTATATTTATTATGGTTAGATTAAGAGGACGTTCAAAAAAATTAAAGTGCCAAAGCATAAACACTCAAATGGGGACGTCGAATCGAAAGCCTCCATCTTATTTCTTAAAGGGCTAACATTTTTTTTTAGAATTCCAGGTTTTCTGCCGCCTGGGTTAGCCTTAGTTCCTTTAATTCAACGGATTCCAAGGGTATCTTTTACTCTATTTTTAATACTTAGATCTAGAATCTAGATATTTTATCTAGAATCTAGATATTTTGATCTAGGTGCTTACTTAGAATTTAGATATTTTTATCTAAAATCTATATTTCTTTATCTAGAATCTAGATATGTTTATCTAGAATCTAGATATTTTGATCTGGAATCTAGATATTTCATCTAGAATCTAGATATTTTATCTAGAATCTAGATACTTTTATCTAGAATCTAGATATTTTGATCTAGAATCTAGATACTTCATCTAGAATCTAGATATTTTATCTAAAATCTAGATATTTTTATCTAGAATCTAGTAACTATTATCTAGAATCTAGATATTTTTATCTAGAATATTGATACTATTATCTAGAATCTAGATTTTTTTTATCTAGAATGTAGATATTTTTATCCAGAATCTTGATTTTTTATCAATCTTATATAATTTTTTTTCTAGAATCTAGATATTTTTATCTTGAATTCAGTCATTGACATTTTTATCTATTTTCCTACAGTCAAAGACGTTTTTATCTGTTTTTTTTAACCATTTAGATTGTTTCACCAAAAACATTTTTATACATTTTTTGGCCAAATTGCAAATACAAAGCAACTTTTGAACATTTCTATTTTCGGCTAAAAAAAACAAAAAACAATATTCAATAAGTGGTCACTCAACTGCAAAACCAATATACAGAATTATCAGCCGGCCATGAAAAGTCAGAAAAGTTAAAAAGCTTCCAGAAACGGAGCTCAACACTTTTAAATTATTGTAAACAAACACAAGACAATTGTGGTCTATTGTGGCAATAGACCACCACAAATACACAAAGGTTACACAGATTGAAGACATGTTTAAAAAAGAAGATACAGCTGTTAAAATTTAACCTTATTCGTTCATTATGAAAGAATAATTAAAAAAAATATTTTAACTAAAAAATCTTCATTTATCAGCCCAAAAAAAACTCCAAGAACTTTATAATTTTTTCACTGTTTTAAACCTGAATTTATAAAACGGAATCTTTACTTTATTGTAGATAAAATTTTATCCTGGCAATATACTAGAGTTGTTTTTTTGTTTTTATGTTCATACATCGTCAAACGTAACATTCTAAATGTCTAATGAACCAATAAATAGAATTTAAAAGGTTTTGTTCATAGATAAATTTTTTTGCAAACTCCGCATTTTTTCTATTTAAAAGATTCTGAAACATGAAAAAATGCAGGAATTGTGAGAAATAACTTCCACTGAAGGAATAAAATAACTTCTAAACTTGCAATCTTTTAGAATTCATAAACTCCATAAACTCAAAATAAAATTTATACCCCTCCCCCCCCCCCCCCACGGTGGAGTATTTTAGGGGGTCACGGAAGGGTGACTGCAGTTTTGTCATCATAAATCTCTAAAACTGCTTTTGTCTTGTGTTTAATGGTGAAAATTGACAAAATGAATATATTCTGATAATCTTTTCATTTACAAACATTGTATGAATTGTAGCCTGCATTGATCTTATAATGATTTCAATTTATAATTACTTTTCCCGTTCATATATTTAGCCTTGAATGGATCCTGTAAATCCCTAATTTATCTAGATAATGTCTTCGATACAGAGAGCTATTTCGAAAGAAAAACATATTTCTTAAAGCAAAAGGACAAGAAAGCACATCGGTTTCGGGATAATCTAAATATACGGATAAATTCAAACAGCCAAATAGAAAAAATTTAGGGGCGCCAGCAGCACGCCAAAACATTGATTTAGTCAGAGTAGCGGGTTGGAAAATCCTATTTTAAGAGTTTTCAATGAAATAGCGGGTTTTCGGTCGAAATTCTAAACTAAATCATAACATTTAAACAACTTATAGAGACTTCTCTCAAACAAAATTCTTAAGCGGTCAAGTCTAATTTGACATAAATAAGAGGTTTATGTGCTCCCCCTTTCGTTCTTAAAAGATCATTTACAGATTGGATAATTTTTCTTTGTAAATTCTGTTCATTTTCCCGTTTTCACCATGTTAATAAGAGTATTAATGCATATTTTTACAAGAAAAAATTTCAAAAGATTAGTTTGGGCGTTCTATGGAGACGGAAGCTGCAGCAATGGGTGCTGAGCGCTGCGTTTAGGATGGGCTAGGGGGTTGAGTACTGCAGCTATAAACTTGTTTGGTGGCCGAGCACTGCAGCTAGAATATATGTGGAAAGTTGCCGCTTGCTAAATTGCACTGTTGTGAAGTTGCCACTTGGGAAAAAGCCGTTGGAAAAGTACCTAAGCATCTGTATTCTTTTCATGATAGCTCTTTGAGAAAAGTACTTATGATTGAAAACATATAAGATTTCAATCTTACGTGACATTATTTTATTTTAACGTGATTATTTACACAAAAATAACATAAATACGGGTCAATTCACCTACGTCATTTTCTGCCATTTTACTCTCTTTTTAATTGGATATCGAATATCCTTCCACGCACCTGGCAGACCACATGGCCGAGGGTTTACAAAAACATAAAATATTTACTATTTATTATTATGAAACTTTAAATCTAGGTTTATAGAATAGGCAAGGGTAGATAGATAAAAAGCAAAAGAAGTGAAAACTCTATGTATTGTGGATATTGATATTAGTACTTGGTCTGATCTCCTCTTTTGGTTAATCTGAAGATTAATATAACCTTTATTTGATAGACAGGTAAGTGTCTGTAGCTGGCAACCATTATTGGTAACATGTATGTAAACCCAAATAGATTCTAGATGACAACCTAGAATTTGTACACTCAGCTGTATTATTACCATAGAGAATAGAATATATAGAGAGGAATTAAAAGAATCTCTCGGTATGAATTTTTTCAGTCCCTTTCAGCCTGAAAGGGAGTTCAAAGTGTACAAATCATGTAAATGTTCACAAATTATATGCAATAGAGTACATTAATACAGTATGTTCCCTAGACTATTCATTTCAATTTCGAATTTTTTAAACTGTTAAATAAACTTTATAATGAATTAGGTGAATAAATAACATCATATGATTTATAGTTATAACGGAAAATCATCGTTTGTAAAGTGGAAGGCAAAGAGTCTATGTGAAATTGGTCAATTATGAAACCAGCCTATTTCATAATTTGGTTTTCTTTTAACAATAATTTTAGATTTTCTATAAAATGATATTCCAGGGCCCAACAGGTTATATAGCATAAATATGTGAAGTACACCTGCAGTATGGAAACAGTACAACAAAATGGCCGTTTTACACTTTTTTCTAGTTAATTCCTCTCTATATATTCTATTCTCTATGATTATTACGTAACAAGTGTCAACTGAGTTTTATGTATCCGACAAAATTATCAATAATAGTGATAATTTTGGAATAAAGTGCTTATTTTACGGTAAAATAAGTGCAATTTTGTTTTCTCTTTTTTCCGTTTTTACACTTTACTAATGTGAGAACATTTCTTTTTCCTTGTTATATTTAACGCCATTGCAATGATACTAGCGCTGTTGCAATGATACAGTTTGCGCTGTTTCAATGATATTTTGCGCCGTTGCAATGAAACAAAGTATTGAAATTCTCCTCTCTTGAAAGAACCTTAAACTTCTTTTACTCCCGCCTCCCATATACATTAGTTAGACGGTAAAAATGAACCTGATCCTAAACCTGATTCTGATCCTGAACAAAACAGTGAACCTAAGTCAGAAAAGACTTTGAAATTTAAAACTGAACCCATTCCATCCGAGCTTGAACCTGGGCCACGCCTGGCCTAAATCTACCATTCAATATTATTAATACTATGTTCGGATTTTGTCAGTATACTGTATGTTCAATATGTCCCAAAAAAACCACGGAAATAAACCAGAAACTATGATGCCAGGATGTGAACGTGTACACTGGCTTACTAAGAATAGGCTTTGTTATACCGCTAGTGAATTTCAAAAAATTTCTTTGCGATAATTGTAAAACTTTTTGTAATCTTTAAATTTCAATCAAAGAATAAATATTTAGATTTCAAAAGTTTTCAATTACAAAACTGAATTTACTTGATCAACTAAAAATATTTAAATCTTATATATCACACTTTGAAATTTTAAGCTTCCTTTGAAATCCCAAAAATAGATATTCCCTATGTAAATATTATGATCAAACGTTAACGAATGTTTATCTTTTTTAGCTCTTTGCGAATAAATGTGAAAAGCAAACTTCAGTATTGCACAATTTTAGAAATGGAATGTTTAGATTGAATATTATTTTTAGAAATCTGGGAAAAGTATAATTTTAGGACAATTCTTTCCTTGCTGAACGTGCAACATGTCAAGTACTCTCCAAGGTAAAATATGAACGTGCAACATGTCAAGTACTCTCCAAGGTAAAATATGAACGTGCAACATGTCAAGTACTCTCCAAGGTAAAATATGAACGAAAAAATTTAAAAACATTTATAACTATTTTTTGCCTAGGGTGTTGTGGCTGTCTTTGGGCCGCAGAGTAAAATAAATTCAGGTACCTGTTAAAAAAAAAATAAAAAAATATAGAAATTTTAAACACTTTCTTATGCAAGTCAGACAAAAATAATATTTTCATGTTAAAGCTTTGAATGAATTTGTAATGTGCAATGTGCATTCTTAAATACAAGTTTTCAGAATACATACTTGGATATTTGCAAATTAGCAAATTTGCAATATTTGACTTTTCTAACTAATACAAACCCCTTATTATAAGCTAAAATGTACACTTAAAAATCTTAATTTTATAAACATACAACTGTTTTGTTTGCTGTTGGAAATATCTTGAAAAAAAAACATCTGATTTTATTTCATATCTCAATAAAGGCTGTATAAAAAAAAGTTTAACCTTTTGAGCCAGCTACAGTTAAACCCTTAAAGGGGGTGACCGGCTATGTAAGGTAGTTGAACTGAGTATGCAGTGTTGTCGAAAACTTCTTTAGGATTCATTTGAAACATATTTCACTTTTTAAAGATCTGTAAATCCTGAGTTTGAGCAAAAATTCGACGTTCAAAACTCCTGATTTGGGGGTAGATACGCTTTCAGAATTTGTTTTTTTAAATTATTAAATAACGACAACGAAAAATTAAGTAAAAATTATACAGTAATCTAATTAGATGACTAGGAACATATTTCACAAAAGAAACTTGTCAATAAATCAATGCTAAAATCGATTATTTCGTTTTCATTATTATATTGAATTTCTAATTTTCTTTGAATTTATTCGCAGATTTCTTCAAATTCTTTAAATGTTGTCTTTTCAATAATAATTATAGAAAATCTGCAAACATCTTTGTGAATAACAAGAAACTAGAATAATGAGATAATAGAAACTAATAATTGAATAAGATTACTTATTTTCGATGATAAGATTAATTTTTATTGTCTCAAAATGTTCCTAAACATGGCATCTGTAGTTTATTGTAGAATATTTTTACATTTTATGTTGTCGTTAATTAACCCTATCCCCACTGGGGTACTTGAAAACCAGGATACGCTGGGGGGGGGGTCAATTTGACCCCCCCCCCTCTAAATCCCATGTTTTATGTCCAAATATGACAAATGAAAGATCATTAGAAAGCTCTAGTGCTCTACTTTTAGAATCTGCAAAAAAAATTTGCAAATTTGCGAAAATTGAATTTTTTATCGCAAAATCCAGTTTTATAGTAAAAATGTTTGCAAAAAAAAATTTGTCCAAAAAATGACAAATTATACATTTTTGAAAAGCCCTTGACCATGCCATTTTAAATATGCAAAAATTTTTGCAAAATTTTAAATAACCTGATTTTTAATCAAGAAAAACTAAAAATGTGCAAATTTCCTTTGACAGGTTGTTTGCAAAAAATTTGCAATTTTTTTTTCGCAAAACTTGTGCAATCCGTTTTCTCATGTCATAGGCTTTCCAAAAAGCTAAATTTTATCAAAATCTGACAAGTGAAAGTGGGTCAAAACAAAGATTTAGTTTGCTACAGGCAAAAGCAGTCATTCAGGCAGTGTGCCTGAGGACTCAGGCAGTTAGTATTAAAGCCCGGTTTTAGGCCTAAAGGGAGGGCTTTGGGTATGTAAGAAAAGTCAGAAAATTTCAACAGCCTCAGACCAATACTTTTTGAGTTATGCAAAAAAAACTAAAGGGGGGATCAAAATTGACCCCCCCCCCAGCGGGAATAGGGTTAATAATTTAAAAAAAACTAATTCTGAAAGCGTATCCACACCCAAATCAGGAGTTTTGAACGTCGAATTTGCGCTCAAACTCAGGATTTACAGACATTTAAAAAGTGAAATATGTCTCAAATGAATCCTAAAGAAGTTTTCCACAACACTGCGTCTTCAGTTCAACTACCTTATATAGCCGGTCACTCCCTTTAATAACGAATACTTCGAAAGAATTCATCAAATGTTGTATTCTTCACTTTCTATTAATGAAATGCTGCAGATATTTAGTTTTTTAATTAAATGACTATATGGAACTCTTTAAAACTGTTCCCGCATATTCATGGCTATTTATTTATTTTCACAAATACTAAAATTTACGAAACCGATGTATTCATTATTAAGGGTTTCACTGTAGCTTATTCCTTTGCAACTAAAGTTCAAATATGTAAACATTTTTTAGCGCTAATTTTTATGATTTTTGGCAAACAAATTATTTTTGCATTATTTCTTTCAACCATTATCTTTTTTATCATATCATTATCTTTTTTTTTGCAAAGTTGTTTTATTATGGAGAAAGTTTTTTTTTCTGTACAGAAATTGAAAAAAATATAATTGTAACAAAAGATAGGTTATTATAGACTTAAAGTAAATTTTGTCTAGAAAATAGAATATATGATAACTTTAAATTAATAAATAACATTTATTATAATTCTTTGCTCTTAGTAATTGTACTTATCATAAAATGGTAAAGACCTAATCTAATCTAAATATGGAAATAGATTTTGATTATCATACAATTACACTACACACTTTCCCAAAACCATTCATTTAGACACAGTATTGTAAATACTGTAAAAAAAATTGTTTTCAGAGTTTTCACTAAAATAGAATTGCCTGTTTAAGTTAGATTTTTAGAACTTTCACTTTTGAACCTCTAAGACACTTCTCCCAAGAAACTTGTTTTGAGAGGCCAAGCCTTATTCACTTGAATAAGGCTTAAAGACATTAAAAAACAACAACAACAAAAGTCCTGCCGTCCAATTTAAGATCTTTACTATACCAAAGAGCTTTTTCATAGATTTTGATTCAAATTAAAGTTCCAACTTTATTGTTTTTTTTTTATAAAAGTATTAACTTCTGCACAAAATATTAAAACTGAGCTGAGAATTTGATCATGCTGGTATTTACTGTCTATTCTATTCATCAAAATGTTGAAAAAAGGTCTGAAAGGAACTATTAGCGTAATTACAAGTGATCCTCCATGCAAAGATGGCAATGTTAAAACTAGATTCACCGACACTGGGTCAAACGACACAGGATCAAACGACACAGGGTCAAACGACACAGGGTCAAACAACACTGGGTCAAACGACAAAGGGTCAAAAGCGCGACAAAGGGTAAAACGACAGAGGGTCAAAAAATGCGACTAAGGGGCAAATTTATTTCAAATTTTGACATCTGTTAGACAGTTAGACACCTGTTTAGTTTTTATCCATTCTTTTTTTACTAACACTGTAAAAATTTGTTTACTGAAAAAATCATTATTAATGGTTTCTATATTTATGATTCAATGCAATAAATGTTTTTGTCTACAAAACTATGAAAAAAAGGTTATAAATATACATATAAAAACTACATATTGTACTGCTCTTACTTCAAATGTTTACTTGTCAGACAATGCTGTCAAGTTTGTCATAAATATATTAAATGAGACTTGGTCATATGTTTGTAGGACATTAACGGACTTAATAGTCAAATTTATCGATAAGAATGGCTCTAGCATCGAATTTTTCAGCAATCTTATCCCAACACCTCAAATAACTTACACCCGTTTCTTGTTTACACTTGTCTTCTTGTAATGATATCCCTGTTCATCTACAATGATCCTACCACCTTGTCTTGCAGCAATAAATGTTGCCAACCCGACCATTATGGAAGCCAGAATCAGACTAAAGTTGTAAATTTTCAAAAAAGTTTGGCAGATTTTTGTGATTAAAATTGCAAGTTTCCAATGATTCAAATCAAAAAATATTTTTATCATTTTGACCTTTTGTCGTTTGACCCTTTGTCGCACTTTTGACCCTTTGTCTTTTGACCCTTTGTCGTTAGACCCTTTGTCGTTTGACCCAGTGTCGTTTGACCCTTTGTTGGTGAATTGTATATGCACTTTTATTGGTCTAATAAAAATTGTAACAAATGTTGTCTTCTCTAATACTTTAGTCGACCATACTCACGGGTTTTCAAAGTTCTGAGGGAAGCATTTTTTATATCACACAGCTGAAAGTCGGAATTTAAGAAACTAGAGGCCCAATTGAAGGAATTTAAACCACTTCGCTGAACCACAAAACCCGCTTCCAATCGAGCCCTGGCTCAAATTTCGAAACACTATAATATACAATTTCAAGTGCCACCAACCATATGTTTGAGCCGCATCTCAAATTTTTGACGTGGCTCAACTTCTTTTAATCCGGCCTTAGGTCCAGTAAATTTTAAATGCTTTATACTCATACTGGTGAGAATTTTGACAGACTGTTTTTGTGCTGCATTTGCTCTTTCACAAAAAAAATTTACTAAATTAGTCAATAAATCCATTTTATATGTGTTAGCCTGCAGTGTTCATGTCCTGTTAAGCATGCAGCAGAGCACTGGTTAGGTTTATTGACAAAGAGAGAGAGAGTTGACCAACCTTGATGTCAAACTTATCTACTAGTGAAATTTCAAAAGGATTAATATTTAAATCAATGTTAAATCAGACTAGAAACCCTTAATATCTGTACATTGAAATTGAAAATATTGTATGATGGAGAATCATTTTTTCAAACCACTTCCTAGTATTTATTGAAGGGTTTCTGTTTTGTGTAAGAATTAAATTTTATTTCTTTCCTTTCTTTCTTTGTACACAGCCCACATGATTCCATCCTGCCTTAATTGTTTGCATATGAAATGCTGGTTTATAGGACCGGCTATTAATATGTTAGAATTTAAAAGTTTTTATCAGGGCATACTAAACCTTTTTTAATGAATAAACAACAGATTTTTTTAATAATTTGTATGCATATTTATGCTGTTTTAGAGCATTTTCCTCAAACATGTAAAATATCAATTTTATTAAAAAACACATATTTAAACATTTTCTGGTTTAATCATCGTCAATAAACTTGCAAGCAAACAGTAATACAATCGGGATAGGACTTAAACAGACAATATCATAAAATTAGCATTACAAAATTAAAAACTATAGACCTCCTAATAAATTTATGATCAATCTAATGAAGATTTTTAGAACTAGCTATTCATCTGCATTATAGATAACAGACTAAACAAAATATGTTTTGTTTTTTTAT